GTGCATCGCTCTGGCACCGTATGGCAGCTCCTTGGTGGCCGGGCATCCCACTGGAGGGCTGGGCAAGCCCACTGTCCTTGGGTTTTCCTTCTTCTCGTGCAAGCAATGCTGGGTGCTTCTCGCTGGGAACATTTCCCTGTTGTGGCAGTGAAGCTTTTGGCTGGGGTGAAGTCCCAATTTGGGGACCTCTGGGTTTTTGGGAAGCAGCTTGTGGGCTATGCTGAGACTGTTTTCTGGAGGAAATGAAGGCATGGGGAGGAGCGTGGATGCTGTGCGTCCATCCTGACCCAGCCCAACTGCTGTGGGATATCAGTAGTGAACAGGCTTTGTTACCTTGAAGCAGAGCTGGTGGGCACTGAGTGCGAAATGCTGGCATCCAGGGACACCCCAGACCACCTCTTGAGGCTGGGATGGGGCTGTCTGCATGGCCTGTGTAATGCTGGAGGGTGCTTGGTCTGTGCGGGATGCCCTGGTCCTGCTCCTCGCTCACCCATGGACTTGCTGTATAGGACAAATGCCATGTTGTGCCTCAGTGTCCCTGTGCCAGAAGAGAGCTGGGGACTTGGCCTCTTGCCCCATGGGTGGCTGGAGCAGAGCTGTGCTGGAGTGGGGCTGGGGGCAAGCAATGCAGGAGCCTGCCAAGCTCAGAGTTGCTCCTGACCCTTGGGGTGGGAGAGGGAATGGCTGCACGGGAACCGTAGGGCACAAATACAATAGGCAGGTCCCCCATTGATGGGGTGAGCTGAGCCAGTCCACCCAGACTGTACTTGCAGTGAGATTTTTATGGCCTTCATGGTCATTAAAAGCCAACCCAGGCATGGTGGGGGATCCAACCTGCTGCCAGCCCTGCAACACAGAGTCCATGTGGACCTGGCACGCACTGGCATTGCAGAACAGGTGATTAGACAGACGGTGCTGTGTAGTGATGAAGTAATTAATGACCCAATTATTTGTGCCCTCTGAAGTGCGGGCAGGCTCCATGGGAATGCCTGCTGGAGCCACTAGGTGTAATTACCAGTTAATCAGCAAGGACATGTAATTATAGCAGTCAGAGGGTATTTAAGTATGGAGGGTTTTCCCGGAGCTGTGCCCTGCTGCTTTGCTTATCAGAGCTGGGGACAGCAGTGCCTGGGGGGCCCCAGCCACTTGCAGCCACCATGGATGGAGCCTTGGGACGGCCAGCAGGGCAGTGGGCAACCAAGGACCTGAAGCCAAATTATAGTTTCCTAGAACCCCTGGGGGCATACCGCTGCCTGTAGGTGCCCTGGTCCCATGAGGCATCGTGCTTTGCAGGCACTACTAATTTTCCTTCCTGCCTCTTTCTTCTGCAGAGACCTGAGTGAGAACTTCATCCAGGCCATCCCTAGGAAAGCTTTCCGTGGGGCCACTGACCTCAGGAACTTGTGAGTCCCAGCAGGCATGGGCATGAGGGAGTTTGGGGTCAGGTCTGGTGGCAGGAGGCATTGGGAGCCACCAGTCGCTCTCTGCCTGGGCTGTCCCAGCAATGTTCCCTCTGTCTTTCTGCTGCAGGCAACTGGACAAGAACCAGATCAGCTGCATCGAGGATGGGGCTTTCCGTGCCCTGCGGGGGCTGGAGGTCCTGTAAGTGGCCAGGGGCCGGCTGGACCCTCTAGCCCGCAAGCCCCACGTGGGTTGGGGGTATCCCCGGGTGCTCCTCACTCACTGAGGTTACTGCAGGGACATCCCCAACATGCCATCTCTCCCTGGCCCTGAGGAGGGGCTGAGCAGGAGTCTGGTACCACTGCTGCAGAGCTGTGCTCCAGGGCCTGATGCTGCCCCAGGAGGTCCATCTGGCTGCAGCTGGCTGTGGAGGAGAGAAGCCTGGAAAGGGCAGGAAGCCCTGCCCAGGGGTTTGGGCTGTCCCCATCCCTCACCTCTCTGTCTGTCCATCCACCCTGTGCTGGGGGGGGTCAGTGGGTGCTGTTGATCCCAGGGGTTTGGTGCCACCTGGACCATCTGACGCTCCCATTTACGGCTTGGCTGCCCTGACCTGCCCCCCTCTGGTTTCCTACAGGACCCTGAATAACAACAATATCACTTCCATCCCTGTATCCAGCTTCAACCACATGCCCAAGCTGCGGACGTTGTGAGTGCTGGGGCTGTGGGGGTGGGAGGGACCCCTTGGGCTGGGGTGGGATGTCCCCAGCTCTGGGACAGCTCTGGGACAGCACCGTGGGGAGGGGATGGAGGGGATACTCATGCAGAGCATCCCCAAGCACTGCCAAGCAAGGTGGCCTTTGAAACCAGTGCAGATGCTCTCGGTCTCCTCGCTGTCCCCCTCTGTATGCCCCCAGCCTTTGGGATGAGCCAGGTTGGGGCAGCTGGAGGGCAGTGGGGAGGGCAGGGTCTGTCCTGCGGCCACTGACTGCTCCATCTGCCTGCAGCCGCCTGCACTCCAACCACCTTTTCTGCGACTGCCACCTGGCCTGGCTCTCGCAGTGGCTGCGCCAGCGCCCCACCATCGGGCTCTTCACCCAGTGTGCTGCTCCAGCCCAGCTCCGTGGCCTCAACGTGGCCGAGATCCAGAAGAACGAGTTCAGCTGCTCCGGTGAGGGGGGACGGGGGAGGCAGCGGGTGCCAGGGCAGAGACGCGGGTCGGGGGGAGCAAAGCCTGCCCCATCGATGCAGCCTACCTCCACTCCCTGCCACGTGCCCCAGCTCAGAGCCTGGATGCACGCTGTGGGCTTAGCTCAGGTCAGCACCGTCCCTGGTGCGGGGACAACATGGGGACAACACCACCCTATCAGTGTGGCAAAGGGCGCATCAGTCTGTCCCCTTGGAGCTGCGTGCCTTTTGCACGGGGTTGGGGCACACTGGGACCTTGGGCACCTGCTCAAAGGTGCCACAAGCTGTCCCAGCACACCGAGCTGTCACCAGGGTCCCTTCCTCGGGGTGCTGCCACCCACCTGCCGGGCCCAGCTCTTTGCAATTCCCATGCTCGGCTGCTTCCCTGGCAGGACAAACGGACGCAGCACGTGCCCAGCTTTGCAGCTTGTCCTCTGGCTCCTGCCCGGCCATGTGCACTTGCAGCAATGGCATCGTGGACTGTCGGGGCAAGGGGCTGACGGCCATCCCTGCCAACCTGCCTGAGACCATGACAGAGATGTGAGTATGGCCCCACACCGTAAACCCTGGGCTCTGGGTGGCTCAAGGCAGTGGGGACACAGGGGCAAGCCCCAAGGTTCAGCCGCCGTGCGGGGCGGCAGGCCTTCCTTGCCCTTCTCCCATGCTGCCCAGATTTAGCCCTGGATTTAGCTGCATTAAAAATGTAAATAGAGAAATAATCTCCTTAGAGGAATCCAATTATGGTGCAAAGCCCCTGCTGGGACAGCGAGCAAAGCACATGGGGAGGCAACAAGTGCCCCCAGACCCAGGGTGCTGGGTGGGAGGAGATGCTTACCCCCACCCCAGCCGGCATGGTCCCCCCACCCATGGCACCCCTCCCTGATGGAGAAAACCCCAACCACATGCTGCAAGTTGTCCCTGGGGTGAATGGTGCCACTCCAGTGGGGTAACTTGCTTCAAGCTTGGGGGTCTTGCAGCCCCATCAGTGGAATGCTGGGGCTCGGCCAGCCCTACAGCCCTCATCTCTCCCCCTTCTCTTTGCAGTCGCCTGGAGCTCAACGGCATCAAGTCCATCCCCCCAGGCGCCTTCTCCCCCTACAAGAAGCTGCGGAGGATGTAAGTGTGCAGCCCCTACCAGCTCACCCCAAACCCCAGCACCCTTCACCCTGCTGGCCACTGCATAAGCCTGCAGCCCCCCACTCCGACGGGCATGGGGCACTTGCTATGACATGGGTTCCCCACATGGCAGCACTGGGATGGGGTCTTGGATACCCCCATCTCTGTAGATTGGGTGCTGGGGGTGGTCCCCTGCACCCAGCAGGAGAAGGGGGCGCAAAGAGGTGAGAGAAGAAGGGACCAGGCCACCTTCTCCCTTTTGGTTTCAGAGACCTGAGCAACAACCAGATCTCGGAGATCGCCCCTGATGCCTTCCAGGGACTGCGCTCACTGAACTCCCTGTAAGTGCCCACCCCAGGGTGTGTGGGGTGACAGGGGGTGGGTGCTGTGCCTGTCGAACCATGCCCCACACTGCTCCCCCCCCATCCCTCTCACACTAGCCTTTCTGTCCCAGGGTGCTGTATGGCAACAAGATCACGGACCTCCCCAAGGGCGTCTTCGGGGGACTTTTTGCCCTGCAGCTGCTGTAAGGCGCTGGTAGCTGGGTGGGATGGTCTGCGGGGACACCGGGAAGCAGGGTTGAGGTCCCCAACACCCATGGTGCAGTGAAGGGGGTCCCCAGCCTCATCTCCCTCCTTCTCTGCCAGGCTCCTCAATGCCAACAAGATCAACTGCGTGCGGGCAGATGCCTTCCAGGACCTGCAGAACCTCTCGTTGCTCTCGCTCTATGACAACAAGATCCAGAGCCTGGCCAAGGGCACCTTCACCTCCCTGCGGGCCATCCAGACCCTGTGAGTGCCCACGCTAGCTCCAATGCTCGGGTGGACACCTGGGGCGGGAGGGAAGTGTCTCAGTGGGTAGCTGGGGCTGGAACTGGTGGTCACCTGCTGTCCCGGTGCAGGCACCTGGCCCAGAACCCCTTCGTCTGTGACTGCAACCTGAAGTGGCTGGCAGACTTCCTCCGCGCCAACCCCATCGAGACCAGCGGCGCCCGCTGTGCCAGCCCCCGGCGCCTGGCCAACAAGCGCATCGGCCAGATCAAGAGCAAGAAATTTCGCTGCTCAGGTGAGAGCCGTCCCTGTCCCCATCATGGGCGCACTGCGGCGTGGCTGTCCTCAGCCCCTGCCCCAGCCTGGTGTCTCTGTGCTCAGGGTGCTGATGTGCTTTTATTTTTTTTTTCCTGCAGCCAAAGAGCAGTATTTCATCCCAGGTAAGAGGAGGAGCCACATGCGTGTGTGCTTGGGTGTGTGCATGGTGCCCTTTCGGCCAGGCTGCCTGCAGGGGTGGTTGTGCCAGACCCCCACGGTCTGGGCCAGCAGGACCACACTGCATTTCCCATCATTTCTGGTTGCTGAGTTCCCAGGTGCCGCAGTAAGAGAAGTGCTGGGTACCAGGACGTGTTGCGGCATCTCCCATCGTGCTGTTACCTGGATGGGCACAGAGGTGTCACCGGGGTCTGGCTCTGGTTGCAGGAGGTGGGAGGGTGGTGGGTAGCACAGCACCCCATGTACCCAGGACAAATATCCCTGTGGAGAAGCTGCTTTGGGCGTGGAGAGGAGTAGTACCTGCACGGCAGCTGGGATGAGGGGAGCTGGGGAAGAGACGGAGCTTGGCTGGGGGTGTGGGAGGATCAGAGGAGGGGAGGGCAGGCACAGCCCCCGTGCCTCTGCCCATGGGAGCCCACACTGCCCTCGCTGGCACACAGGGACGGAGGATTACCAGCTGAACAGTGAGTGCAACAGCGATGTGATCTGCCCTCCGAAGTGCCGCTGCGAATCCAGTGTGGTTGAGTGCTCCAACCTGAAGCTCACCAAGATCCCGGAGCGCATCCCGCAGTCCACGGCTGAGCTGTAAGAGCCTCCTCCCTCCCACCCTGCTTTTCCTCCTGCAGCTGGACCATCACTGGCCCTGGAGTTTGGCTCAGGGTTTGGCCTGTGCCAGACCCTTCGCAGACATCTCCTGAGCTTTTTTCCCTGCTGCCCACCCCAGGCGCCTGAACAACAATGAAATCTCCGTCCTGGAGGCCACTGGCATCTTCAAGAAACTGCCACATCTGAAGAAAATGTGAGTATTGGGCAGGCACAGCCCTGTCAGGAGTGCCAAGAGGCTGAGAAAGCACATGGGGGTCTTGGTGCCAGGGAACCATGGGGCGTGAAATGGGGGACACATGCTGACCTGAAGGTCCCCTGGGGGACTAGGCATCATGGGGTGTTTGGTGGGACCTAGAGGAGGCAGGGTTCAGGATGAGGTTTGGGCAGAGCCCACATCCCAGCCTGCTTTCCTCTCTCCATAGCAACCTCAGCAACAACAAGGTGTCGGAGATCGAGGATGGGGTGTTCGAGGGGGCTTCCTCCGTCAGCGAGCTGCACCTCACTGTCAACCAGCTGGAGTCTGTGCGGAGCGGCATGTTCAGGGGCCTGGATGGGCTAAGGACCCTGTGAGTCCCCCCTCTGCTGTGGGCACAGGGACGAGGACATCCCTGCTGCTTGCTACCCTGCCCTGCCCATGATCCTGGGCTGGTGCTGTCTGCATCACGTGCGGGGCCAGCTCAGGAGTGCTTTACCCATCTGCTGGCTGTATCCAGAGCTGGGGCAGGCGGGCGGGCAGGTTTTTGGCTGCTCAGGGACTGGCTCAGCCTCATCCTGCTGCCCAGCAGTGAGGTGGCACAGTCCGGGCACTGCCAAGGTGGGTTTCCCCCATGGCACCTGACCGGGTCATTAGGTCCCCTCGTCCCCTTCCCTCCGCAGGATGCTGAGGAACAACCGCATCAGCTGCATCCACAACGACAGCTTCACGGGGCTGCGCAACGTCCGCCTGCTCTCCCTGTACGACAACCAGATCAGCACCATCGCGCCGGGGGCCTTCGACACGCTACAGTCCCTCTCCACGCTGTACGTCTCGGGCCCCGGGGGACGATGCTCCCAGGCTGTCTTCATCACATCGGGAGGGCTGTAGGGGGTCTGCTTGCCCAGCGGCTGCTCAGGTGATGCCCTCATGCTCCCTCCCGTGTGCAGGAACCTGCTCGCCAACCCCTTCAACTGCAACTGCCAGCTGGCCTGGCTGGGGGACTGGCTGCGCAAGAGGAAGATCGTGACGGGGAACCCACGATGCCAAAACCCCGACTTCCTCCGGCAGATCCCGCTCCAGGACGTGGCTTTCCCCGACTTCAGGTGTGAGGAAGGTAACTCACGGGCTCTGCGGCGCTGGGGTAAGGGGGGACTGGGCTTCTCCTCTCAGGCTGGCACTGAGCTCCGTGTCCCAGCACCATCCCTGCTCCCGGGATGTTCAGCAGTGCCCCACGGCAAGCCACTAGCTCAGGGGTCCCTCAGCCCGTTAATGCCCTCCCCTAATGATGCAGGAATTTCATTCCCTGGTGCCCAGCCCTTAGGGCTGTACTGAGAACACCCGTGAGCTGCTCTGGAGCTGGGAGAGGAGTTTGTACCGACTGCACTGCATGGCCCTTGTATGTGGGCAGGTCCATGCCAGCAAACGCTGTGCCAAGAGCAGATGTGTAGGCAAAGCCCACCAGGATTCATCCTGCTCCTTCCCTCCTTCCCTTCCCAGCCCCGCACATGTGCCAGAGCTGGGCAGATGGAGCAGGCGGGGAGCACACGTGTTGAGAGAAAAGCCTATTTTTAAAAAAAAAATTTAATTTAGAACAGCTTTTGAGCCCTCTGGAAAATATTTACAAACAAATCATCATTTCTTCTGCTTTCCCTCCTCCACCACGTCAAAGACTGAAGGGTTGCATCCTGCGCCTTTCCTAACGGTGCGAGATAACATACAGTCATCCCAGGGACACCTCTCCCACAGGAGCCCAGTGCTGAGGTGGGGAAGAGGGAGCGCTGCTGGCTCCTCCGGTGCTCAGTGCAGGCACTGCTCCCACTATGCAGGGGCATCTGGGAGATGGGTGAAGGAGGTTATTTCATGAGGATTTGCAGGGCTGAGCGCCTTCTTCCACATCCTCATCTTTGCTGTCCCTGGGGCTGCATTTTTACTTGAAAATAGTGAAAATCAGAGCAGCCTTGAGCTGGCTGGTTGCATCCATCCTGGTGGGGCAAGTGGTTTCTGGGCACAGAAGTTCCTGCACTGCTGGCTCTCAGGTGGGCTGAGGCTGTTGCCTGCAGCACCCTGCTTTGGGGGCGAGGGGAGATGGTTGGCATGGGAGGGGAGCAGTCCTAGGCAGGCACAAGGCATCGAGTCCAGCCTCATGCGATGCCCGAGGGCTGGGCCCTGGTGACTTTGTGGCTCTCTGTGCCTGGTGCAGGTCAGGAGGAGACCAGCTGCATCCCCCGCCCCCAGTGCCCGCAGGAGTGCACTTGCCTCGACACCGTTGTCCGCTGCAGCAACAAGCACCTCAAGGCGCTGCCCAGGGGGATCCCCAAGAACGTCACGGAGCTGTGAGTGGGGAGCAAGTGCCCAGGCTCTCCCCTGCGACTGCCAGCGACTTTGCAGCTCTGGGTGGGGGAGTCTCTGCTGCGGGGCTGCAGATGTTGGGGCAGAGGTGCTCCCTCGCACAGCCCCATCCCAGCCCAGTAGTGGGAGCAGGAACCCCACCCAGCCAAAGGACCCTGTCAAGCCCTGAGCCCAGCAAGGAGCTCAGCAAGAGCCTCTCTGCTGACTGAGGGCTACCAAGGGTGTTGTGCAAGGGGGGTTGTCACACTTGGGTCCCTGCTCTTTGGCCCTTGGGAGGGGGCAGCATGGGACAGCCACCCCCTGCAGCTGTGGTCCCCAGGCAGCTGTGTAGCCCAGAGCTCTGTGGTCCCCAGCAGCCTGTCATCAGTGACAGGGCCAGGGTCACCCTGTCTCTGCCAGCTCCCCAGCCCCTCTCTGCTGTCACCT